TGATAAAATAACGTACACTGAGGTTGGGAAGACTTGGGTGGTAGGTGCTTACTGACTACCTCATTACCACGAGATTCCTGTTATATCAACCATGAACTTGCTCGTGTTTTTTTTAGAGGGGTATAAGTAATACACAAACAACCCGCACATAGGAGAGAGGAACTTACGACGACGTTTCGGTCCGATTTGGACCATTTACAAAGTCACACTAACAGAAAGGAGAGAAGGGGGGAGTATAGGCCAGAAGACAGGGACGGGACAAGAGACCTAGGTAGTAGAGGAAGATGAGAAGTAGTGGTAGAGGTAGTTGTTGTTGTAGTAGTAGTAGTAGTAGTAGTAGTAGTAGTTGTAGTAGTAGTAGTAGTAGTAGTAGAGAGCCAAAGACTAAGAGGAGCACTGCAACGGAGCTACGGGCCCACAAAGGGTAGGAACAAGAACACAGAGGGGGAAAAATAATAAATAATAATAATAATAATAATAATAATAATAATAATAATAATAATAATAATAATAATAATAATAATAATAATGGACCAAATACCCAAGGCAGAAGAAAGAGAACTCAAAGGAGAAAGAGGAAAGGGGAAGAGGGAGAAGGGGGAAACAAAAATCAGGTTAAGTCACGGGTGTTCTGAAGTTTGGAGCATTTTACATTGTAATGGGAAAGGAAGGTATTGTGCCTTTATGTTATTTATGGTATAAGTAACTCAGTCAATAGAGTGTTCATTTTTAAAGACAACACCTTTAAATTCAAAACGATAACTAAATTAATGTATGTGCTTCATACATGTGCAAACATCTGTCGTTCGCTAAATCCATTGTTTAATGATTATCTTTTGTAGCAGTTAAAGGTTGCAGGTTGCACAGAGACTGTATAATGCTTAATTTGTTTCAAACTGCAGTAACTTTCGCTACTTCTTCGTAAGTAACACCCTTTTATAAATACTGTAGTGACTCTAAAGAATAGCACCAAAATAATACTTTTGATTAACTTGACAAATTGATTACGAAATCTGATATTTCACGTTGCATCTAACTGCTATTACAAGAGATTGGAACTTAACTCTCTGGATTTTTTTCTTTAAGGTATATCTCATTTTTTTTAATTCTTCAAATATATAGTTTCAAATGAGGTTAATTAAGTTAAATGATACTGTTATAAAATTGCGCTTGTCTTTCTTTGCGCCCAGTTCACATATTTTCATTTTAGGCTAAAAACACTGTACAAAGAAATAGATTTGAGAATTAAATAATGCGAGTATTAGATTAGAATAGCCAGGTCCCCAACGCACTGGGGTTCATCGACTGTCTCAATAGCTGATTGCTGTTAGACATTCTATACTATACTAGCATGAGGTAATGTGACAAGTGTTTTCGGTTGCGGATTTTTTTGTGATGTGATTAAACATTATCTGTGTGATTCACACATACAGTGAGTGTAGTCATAAACATATACAAACATTTTATATAAGATCTGGAGTTTACCTGGAGAGGGTTTCGGGGGTTAACTCCCCCGCGGCTCGGTCTGAGACCAGGCCTCGTGGTGGATCAGGGTTTAATCAGCAGAGGATTTGAAACCATTCTCCCAGCTCTCCACGCAGGTAGATGTAAGAACAGTATTAATGTTGGTAGAATTACCAACAATATGTTAAGTAAAAGGACACAAGCGCAACTAATGCGACATTTTATTGTGGCAACGCTTCGCTCTTCAAGAGCTTTGTCAAGTTGTTTTCCTTTAAGTTCTCTTCATTTTTGTACCTCTCTGAGTTTGCCTTAAACTTCCTTTACAAATCTTGGAAACAGTTGTTGGGTTTTCCACGGGGAGTGGCAACACTTTAGGGTGAGTAATGTAAGGGGAGTCGAACCTTCACCTCAGTTGACAGACGGATGGATGATTATTTATACACTTGTGGGTACTTGACTTTGTAAATGTTTACAATTGTGAAATGGTGTGGTGCAGCCCCAGACGGTTAGTTGGAGGGAGACTGGGGACCCACAGGTGCTGGAAAAGATACGAAGAGTTGAAACAAATCTTTTATTAAATACGACTTCTCACTTTCAAGAGTGAAATGCAAAATATCTGTTTTTGTTATGTTTTATATCTTCCAGCCTCATCATGCAGACACTTGTTACTAATTGCTGTCCACCCGCAGCCGTTGCAGTGTTGGGTTAGATATTGATCATGTAATGCAATAAATATATCACGAGTTTATCACTCTTGATATATTGCAACACAAGTTCACGGAGCATAACTTCCAGTATAGCTGACAATGTAAATCAGCTGATTCAGTCATATGAATGCTAACCTTTAATATGAGACTAATGATATTGACGACCTAGGCTAGCCTATTCATTAGAAGGAATATATTAAGATGGCAAAATTATAGAAAAAGCCTAGTTATATAAATAACCCGTCATTGCTACGAATTATTTAGGGAGTATTAAAATTAGTTAATAATCTTTGTATAAGGCCGCTGAGAAAGCATTTGTAAATTCTCCTGGAAGATGTGCTAATATTATTTGTGGTGAAAGAATTACAACTACCGTCCTATTACTATATGGTACTATATGGTCAACAGTTTTAGCGCGTCCCAATAATAAATACAAACAATAAATACTACTACTACAACTACTTCTACTATTATTACTTCGACTACAACTACTACTACTACTACTAGTACTAATAATAATAATAATAATTTGGATGGAAAATATAGTTTTACTCTCTTCAAAAAATGTAATGCCTAATAAACCTGAGTGTAGTGGAATTCCATAGAAGCACAGTATGTATATCATAAATATTTATTGTTAGGTTCATATTCCACTCAAATACAAAAAAAAGGCTTATTGAAAAAATTATAAATATGATAAATAAATAGATGTTTAAAAGCTTTTATACCAAGTCGAGAAAAAAACATAGTTTCCACTGATAATTAAAAAAAAATAGTACATACGAAATAGTATATACATAATAGGTGGGTGGCTAGTAGGCCTATGGCTTGTTTACTGATGCTGTCTTACTGAGGCATGAATGTTTGGGTTTCTACTTAAATTCCTCCCGTTGGCTAGTACTCTGATGATGCTGTTCCTGGCGATACCGAGGCGACTAGCAATGCCTAGGGGGAGCCTGGCGATGCCGAAAGCAGACTAGCAAAAACCGAGGGCAGCCTTACAATGCCGATTGTAGCCTGGCGATGTTTAAGGCGCTTAGCGATGCTCAAGGCAGTCTAGCGATACTCAGGGGAGCCTAGCGATATTTCAAGGCAGCCTAGCGATGCTAAGGGCAGCTACAGTTGCGTGACCGGTCGGCTGACCGACCTACAACCACCACCATTCCACACACTTTAGATCCAATACTAAATACATAGATTTTTTATACATTTTTTTGAGTTTATACAAATAGATACAAAGAGTGTAAAGAAGAAACTCCATGGTCCCAGAAATATTAAATTTTCACAGTAGATTAAGGAATTATGCTCACCCCGGAGCAACTAGGAGGGAGAGGGGGGGTCAAAATTTTTTCAATGACCCACCTTCCCCTCTTCTGGAAAACTGCTAACTGAAGTTATAGATAATCAATATATGCCAATTTTTTAATTCTGACTAGCCTAGCAACCTAAAGCAATCTTTGTAAAAAAAAAATACGTAACAAAATAGCTGATTTTAGCAATTAGCTTATTTTGCGTTACATAAAATACTTAATATTTATTGTATAAAAACAATTTACTTAAAATAGGTAAAATTTATATCACTAAAATTTATTATTTTACCTAGCCTTTTGTAAAAAACTACATAACTTATGTAAGAGTTTTCCCTGGAGTTTTTAGGAGACCCAAAATGGGCTCATGAGTTTTGTCTAATTTCTTGTCGGCCGTGACGCTAACGTGTCTACCTTGACCCAAACACGTCTGCCGTGACCTAACACGTCTACCGTGACGCTAACATGTCTACCGTGACACTAACACGTCTACCGGGACGCTAACACTACTGACTAGATATCCCCATCCGAGATTAATACTTCACTAAATCCACCACATACCCCGTAGAGAGCGCCCTTCGCTCCCTCCCGTATACTAAGGTCTACTGGACCCATGTTAAGTTTATTCACATTCATACATATAATAGTATTTCTATTATTCAATTTTGTTATCAATAAATGGTTAAAGTATTTTCAATCTTCCCCTTTTTTACAACAGCAGTAGGGTTTAAAAACCCAAATTTTAATATTTTTACCATTAAATCTAATGCAGGGTAATATACAAAACCCCTTTGAACAGGGTTTTTTTAATTTATATATTATATTATATATAATTATATATATATATATATAAATAATATATATATATATATATATATATAACTTGTGTCATTCTTTTGTGTAATAACTGATACAGCAGCGAGTAACTTTCTAAATGCATTTAACTTAAAATATGCAAATTGTTAGGGAAAATTTAAAAATTTTGCTTAAGTACTACGAGTAAGAAAGTGTTTGCTGGTCCCCCCCAACCCATCATGTTGGGAAACCTATCCTAACCGTTTATTCACCTATCCAGATCATACAATTCACTGGGAAGCCTTTGGAAAAAAAATCACCCAATTACCTGTTTAGGTCACCTAAAACCACTGGAAAGCCTTTATTAATCAGTCACCTATCCAGGTCTTTAATCACTGGGGAAACTTTTATTAATCACTCAGTAACTTATCCAGGCACCTAATACTCTGTGATACCTCAAATAGCCATTTATTCAAATATGTAGGGTGCCTGATTCACTGGTTCGCCTTTATTAATCCCCCTAGTCACCTATCCAGGTCACCTAAACCCTGGGGAAACCTTCTCTAACCTTTTATTCGCTTACCCAGGTCGCCAAATACGCATTGAGGCCTCTGTTAATAAAATTTACCATATAAAGGGGGAGGGGTACCTTAATGGTGACTGGTTCTTGATCCAAAGAAATTGAAGCTTTCCTTCCCTTTCTCGGGTCAAACTTGATTGTCTCCCTTCCTCCCAGGCGTTCTATATTCCTTTCGATTTCAGCACTTCTCATGAATAAAATAATAATAAAAATATAAAAAATAATAATAATAATAATAATAATAATAATAATAATATAATAATAATAATAATATAATAATAATAATAATGTTATTATCCAAGACTAATTACCCAGTCACATTTCTCCTTTCAGCTGAAATCACACATCACCTGAATTCAATCCTCGCTCAGCTACCTACCACCATCCCCAACATTTCCCTCACTGTTACCTGCCATAATTTACGACACTCCCCTCACTCACCGTCACCTACCATCATCCACGACAATCCCTTCACTCGCTGTCAGCTACCATCGCCCACTACATTTCCCTGGTACCTATCAGGTGACTCGGGCGTGTACATATAAAATCCAAAAAACTGTTTTGATTAGGAGTAAGAGAACAGGTGGGTCGTCTACACCTTTCCCAACACCAGTAGCAAGACCTTTCAACGGAGTCACATATAGAGGTTCTACACCTGATAGTTACAAATATAGGTGTTCTGCACCTGATAGTACTATAAAAGCTCTACACCTAATAGCCACTAGTATAAAAGTTCTACACATATATAAATGCTCAAGACCTGACAATCACTATTATAAAGGTTCAAAATTAGTTAGTAATATAAAGTTTTAGACCTGATAGTTATAAATTCTAGACCTGATAATCATTAGTACTGATACTCTGTATCTGACAGTCATTAGTGTAAGCTATAAAAACTGTAATGAGTCTTGCCTGGCATCCCCCACTTGGCACACCCTAACATAGTCATCACTGCTTCATTCTTTGACTAGTTTATTGGTCAATTATAAAGTTCTCTCACTGCCACAGATCTTCCTAGTGTTCTCTTGTGGAAGTATGTTGTACCATGTTGATAAGAAGAGTGAAGGTTGTGTGGAGCGAAATAGTGTTCACGAGTGTTAGTGGGCTTTTGCAGTGTAATTGTATCTGTCACGGGACATTTACAATATTGAATGATGTTACAGGGCATTTGCAGTATACATGAAGGCATGGTTGACAGTTGTAATGTACTTAGAAACGTCAGTGACCATTTGCTGTGTTTGGTGGCACTGGAAATTTGCCATGCACGAGAAAGTGTCAGTGAACATATGCAGGCGTTGCTAGGCATTGAAGGTGTTCAGTGTTTCCCAAAGCGTTCGTGGTCATTGGTTGTGTACTTAAAGGTGTCTGTGAACATTTGTTGTGTATTTCAAGTAGTTAGTGGACACTTGGTATGTTTAGGCGTCAGTGGGCACGCGCAGTTGAAACATGTGGAGCTGATCGAAGGATAGTAACTGTATGCAACGGTCGCCCTCCAACACGACTCCCGAACCCGCTAGGCGACGCATGGCGGAGTGTAGTAGTGATGGCCGAGGTGGAGGCTGGTAGATCAGCGTGTGCCCCTGTAATAGGTCCTACAACAGAGTCCCAGGATGGGGGGTCATGCCACTTCTACTCAGGGCTCGGTGGAGCTTCATGCAAGAAGAGGACTCCTCGTGCTTATAGAGGTAGGATTTGAGAGCGAAGGACTTGCCACAGCGGGTACAGGCGTAGGGCTTGATGCTGGAGTGCGTCTGGACGTGAGCCCGCAGGTTGGACTTGTCAGCAAAGGCCTTACCACACATGCTACACCTGAACGGCTTCTCACCTGCAAAAATAAAAAAACATTCTTGGTGAATGGAGCAACAGGCCGACAATTGAGTATTAAAACACGCAATGAAGAAGACGTTTCGATCATGATTGAACGGAACTTTTTGCTAAGTAGCATCTTTACACACATTTTTATTCTTGTAATCTGCATGTCAGCATCTTGTACGAGAATCAGTATTTAAAACTAATTAAAGTTGCGAAAGATTTTGATAAAGTTACCGTTGTCTTGAGGAAACACGGGTTGGATAATGGGAATTTAACCATTAAGGCTGCACATAACCTGTTTATCACAAGTAAAGAATATTTTACTCTGTAAAATAGAGGTTAATTACATAATCTCTTAATATACACTGAGATAAGTACACCTCTCAGTGTATATATCCTGTATGAGGAACGCAAATGTAGTCCATCACTTGGCTATGACAGAAATACGTGAGAGATGTGTTAGTGTGGGGAATAACTAGTGACAAATACAGATGTTAGTAGCGGTTATACGTAAGAGATGCAATGTTAGTGTGGGAAATAACTAGGGACAAATACACTTGTAACAGATACAAGTGACAGGTATAGTGTTAGTGGGGAATAACTAGTGACAGCCACAGGTGTAACACATAAGAAACAAATGTATTGTTTGTGTGAAGAGACAGATGAACATATGTTGTAGAAAGTGTCAGGTGTGAATAGCCATCTTAAAAGATTAAAAAAAGAGCAAAGGGTAACAATGGATGGACACAAATATTCTCAGAGAGTAGTATAGATTCCGTTTACATTCCCGACACAAATGTCAAAGACTTAGACATCTGTGAGGGATACAGCTTACGGCTGTTGAGGTAACAAATCTGAGGCCTATGTAAAGGTGAAGAGTGAGCCTGGTATGTGGGGTGTGAGGGTTGACCTGTGTGGGTCCTGATGTGTCCTTGGAGGAGCCACGGTCGTGAGAAACACTTGCCGCAGGTGTGGCACTTGCAGCCCTGGTTGTGAGTGCGCATGTGCTGACTGAAGGCTGGGGTGCTCACATACACTTTATCGCAATATGGACACTTGCGCGCCACCCTCTTGTCGTCCGGGGATCGATGCGTCTGTCTGAAATATCATACAATGAATTGTACAACATATTATGGACTTGTGAGCCACATGCTTTGGCGTCCATTGGGGGTAGAGGGGCGGAAGAAGGGGAAGCATTTACTCGTTCCCCTGGAAGATACCTGTGGGAAAAACAAACATATTATTGTCAAACTCTTGAGGTTTACTATCCCCTTGCCAATACACCCTCCTCAACCCAGCAAGAAAACCAGAGATATAAGTAATATCAGTTACGAAGATTGAAGACACCGGAAATAGCCTCGTTGAAAGACAGGAGAGGAAGATTGAGACATAACCACATACAAGACTATAAAACACGAGAAAATAGATTGTGAGGTCAGCGACGGTTATATTGTACTGCGGCTGTCAATACTGTATATATGCTGAAAATTGAGTTTAATCACCATTTTAGGAATTAAAGTATATTTGGTGGTGTAAAGTTTACATACAATCAGCCTTACTGACTGGTTTTGTGGACTGCACATGCGGCGCCAGAATTAATGAACTGGGACACTGAGGCACGACTAAATTGTTGGAAGGGACGAGAAGGACTAGGAAACCTATTATTATTTTTATTTGGGGGGCTGAAGAAATTTTTGGTGGGCTAAATCCCCAAGCATCTACTGGTGGATAGGCTTTAAACCCAATAAACCAAGCCATCTTAATAGCAACAGTAAGAACAAGAAATCATATTTCTAAATTACGAAAGTTGTACAGAAAGGACATTTACATCTATTTCCGTACAGTGCTTGGCAACTAATGTGGAATTAATTATTAGGAAATACGCAATTAAATAATTGAATAATTAAAAGAAAAGTTTATAAAAGTTTATTAAAAGAAATGGGACAAAACGAGCATAAGATCTATTTTTGTAATTTCAAATGCGCAACTAAATAGTTAAATATATAACTAAACTCTCAAATATATTAGTAAACAGTCAGGTATATAACTAAACAGTCAAATATAAAACTAAAACTCTGAAATATTAAACTAAACAGTCAAATTTGTAACGAAATAGGTAAATACAAAATTCTGGTGTTGAGTCTTGGATGGTAACAGATAGAAGCGTAAAAGCGAAAGCCATGCCAAGGAATAACGCAGTCCACTATGCGTCTATTCCAGAATACAAATTATGCAGAAAATCTAAGCACCGGAAGAAATATTTCAAGAATATTGTTGTTCCCTGAAGACAAAAGCATTGAGGAAAGTTTACCCTAAGGTTATGGGACTTGGAGAGTGTTTACAAGTCTTCGTAAGAATAGATCGGTATGACGAGACGAAACATTTAGAAAGTGTGACAAACGTGAACCAAGTGGAAAGAGAGGCAGACACCAGAAATAAAAAGTGTGATGGCTGAACTAAGAGGAAAGAGAGCAGACACCAGAATTAGAAAGTGTGACAACACGAACCAAGTGAAAAGAGAGAAGCAGACACCAGAATTAGAAACATTCTAGCCAAGTTTGGGACAGTAAGCTTCCTCACACTCGTAGGAAAAGTACGAGGCGTGTGAGTGTTTAGTTGTTCTTGTGACGCTACAGCCCCTGGAGCCAGGGAAGGCAGATGGTGCCAAGGAACAAATGTGCCAGTGAGCAGTTGGTGATGGGAGTAGATGGTGCCAAAGAATAAGTTGTGCCAAGGAGCAGGTGGTGATGATGGCAGCAGGTGGTTCCAAGGAACAGGTGGTGTTAGTGAACAAGGTGGTGCCCAGGAGCAGGTGGTAACGATAGCAGGTAGTATGAGTGGACTAGTACAAAATGGAATGTGGGTTAGTAGTGCGGGTAAAATTAGTGAGCCTAGGTTAGTAGCACAAGTAGGGCATTGAACCCCATGTTTTCAGTTTCGAAGTTGCAAGTGGAGCTCCTACAGGGGTGGCAGGTGGTGGTAATGGTGCATGCAATGGCTCAGTAGTACGAAGGAATTTATTGGAGCCAGAGGTGTATATTTCAGCGACGTGGGGAGTCATGTGCAGGTCGTGCATTATTATATGTATATTATTATAATTATCATTTATTATTATTTTTATTAATATGGACGTTCAAGTGTTCAAAATGGTAGACTCACAATATCCTCTGACAACTAAAACAATGGCTAGGCTCTAAGACAACTGAGATAGGCTCTCAAAACTGAACCATGTCTAGGCTCTCAGATTACTGAACTTTGGCTAGCTTTTTCAGACACCTGGACTATGACTAGGCTCTCTCAGAGAACTGAACTACGGCTAGGCTTTTTCAGATAACTAACTATGGCTAGGCTCTCTTAGACATCTGAACTATGGCTACTCTCAGACACCTGACAACTAAACCATGACTAGTCTCTCAGACAACCTGAATTATGGCTAGACTCCCTCTATAACCGATCTATGGGTAGACTCTCAGACAAGTAAACTGGCTAGGCTCTAATTGACAACCAAATCCATATAAGCCAGGATTTCCTTGACAAACCTAGCTTGACAGAACCATGGCTTGACAAAACCAGGGCTTGATAACAAAATCTTGTCACAATGCATTTGTTTAATGTAATAAATGAAATCCAAATCACTCTTAAGAGCACTTTCTGAGACCACTTTCCACAAACTATAACAGAAAGTGGCAGGCACTCTCTACTGCTCCAAGATTCGCTGGTACTCTCCGGGCCAGGGTCTTTTCCAGATGGCTCCCTGTCTTGAGACCTATGTCTCCCATGGGAGGAAGTACAAGTTCCTCCTCATCTTCGGTACCAACTGTCCCCAGGCCTAGCCCCATTCCCCATCCTCACGGGGCTCGTAGTAGAAGCTAGGCCTCTGGTCTACCATCTTCCCCGCCCCAGAGGGCTCGTGGGAATGGCAGTCTTGTGAGCTGCAGTGGTAGCAAGCCCTGGCTCTGGCACCTTCCCCGCCCTAGGAGGGCTCGTGAGAGAGGTGTGCTTAGTTTCTAGTGGTAGGTAGGTCACTTTCAGTATTAAGTGAGGGCCAGCCAGCACCTGACATTGAAGTGAGGCTTCCAGTGCCGCAAGACGAGATACACGAATTGGTTTTTTCAATACAATTATAATCTGTAATAGTTGGTTAAAGGGGTTTAAAGCCTATCGACTGCATGAGGGTCTTAAGGCTGCACGTAACTTGGTTCACCACCAAACGAGAATAATACTAATACCTAGAATAGAGATCAAACTCCCAATACATGCTGTTTCTCTAGTGAATCACTGGCCAGGTGTGCACCCGATCATGTACTATATATGTATGTATATATGTATATACATTACATCATGATGTGCGTATCTTTCATTTTATTTTGTATATTTCAGAAATACACCGATATTTTAGAGATATTCTGAGAACTTGAAGATATGTTAGAGATACTCTGAGAACTATCCTTTGTTTTATGAAAACAAAGGATAGTAAATAAGTAAGTTTTATTCAGATATACACAATATAGTTACATAGATTATCATACACAGCAGCATATGTGTAGACAACCTGGGATAACCCGAAAAAAAGTCAAGACTTATTTCCATTGGGGTCCTTTGGATATTTTTTTTTTCATTTTATATATCAGAAGAATTACTTGCATGGAAAATAGAATTTGATACCTTCCTTAAAACTTTACGTAGTCAGCCGGGCTGTGGAGCATACATGGTAATGTAGTCTCTAGCCACCAACAGTCACCCTAATCACAGTCAAGTAGGAAGCCTAGTAAGGTCTTTGCTAGGAGTACAAGTCTCTCTGGCTCATTCCTTTTGGAGTTCATGTGGGTTTTTGTACGGGTCGTCCTGAGAGATTCCCTCTACATCATAAATTTAAACGCGTGTTAATAAGACACAGTGTAGTTTATGGCATTTTATTGAGACATTTCGTTCACTGGGGTTTTTATTATTTGATAAAGAATTATAAAGCCCCCGGGTGGGTGAAACGTCTTCTCATATAATGTAAATAAAGCGCATATTGTGCCGTATTAACATGCTCATCAGTATATAATACCACTGTTATACAAAAAGGTAACCAACTGTAATAGCAAGTTTCTGGCAAGTTCACTGGTTGAATGAATGACGGTGAATGTGTTTTTTTTTTTGTGTGTGTGTGGGGGGGGGGGGGAGGAATCACCTTATCTCGGTGGAAGACTTCCGGTGTATTAAAAAAATTCATGTTTTTTTTTTTTGTTTTTTTTGCATTAGATTAATAAAGTATCGAGGGTTAAAGATTCCGTCTCTGTGTCACTTGTCCTGTCCCTGTCTATCGATGGCACCTGGTTGCTGGTGAAGTGCTCGTGATCTAAGTAATTGGAAGTACCCTTTCCTTTCTCGAATCAAACATAATTACCTTCCATTCCCTAGACACGGTTATGATCCCTACGAGTCATCATGTGTTCTGCCTGCTGAATGTATTAAAAGTACGAAGTACTCAAGGGAAGCAAGTGGATCCCCTATAGTTTTTGTGTTATGTCATACTTAACATAACAGAGTAGCAGACCACTGCTGATGTGATGTATTCTTTTTATATACTGTATATTAATAACACCGGTAAGCCGGACTTGAGTTTTGGAAGTAGGAAGTACAGTGCCTCCACTTTAAAGGAGGGGTTTAAGATGTTTGCTGTTTGGAATGATATCCAAACTGTCGTATCTGCGCCTCTGCAAAGACAGCGATAGTGTGAAAGATGGTGAAAGTGTTTCTTTTTGGGGGGGTCACCCTGCCTCAGGTGGACTTGGACCACCAACGTATTAAAAAATAAAAGTTATAACTAGTGTACGTTCGCATGCGTATAATTCTAAATTGTTATTTACTATTGTGTGTGTGTGTGTGTGTGTGTGTGTGTGTGTGTGTGTGAGTTGTGTGTGTGTGTGTGTGTGTGGTGTGTGTGTGTGTGTGTGTGTGTGTGTGTGTGTGTGTGTGTGTGTGTTTACTCACCTAATTGTACTCACCTAATTGTGGTTGCAGGGGTCGAGACTCAGCTCCTGACCCCGCCACTTCACTGATCGCTACTAGGTCCTCTCCCTCTGCTTCCTGAGCTGTATCATACCTCTTCT